ACACATATTTAATACACACAGCAAGTGATCATTCTGTGGGAACATGGATAGTAGCCTGAAGAGTTCCGCCCGCAGTACTCCAATGGGTGTATTCCAGAACTTAACTTAACTTATCACCAATGGACATTGTATTAGAAGGCATTGCAGCGCAATCCGCTGAAGAAATGGTGTGGTTAGGGACATAGCTCAATATTTAAGGTTATGGTAGTAGAAATAGAACAGATTACGGCTTTCTATGGAAAAGATGGTTTTAAACTTTATAAAAGTGGGGTAGATGGTACAAGAGCGTGCGATCCCCCAGCGTGTCTTCCAATTTATATACGGATGGTTTAGAAATAACTGATGCATGGGCCGTTGGCCATCTCAGGAAAAGGTCTTCGCGTTGAAGAATCAATTAAGGCAATGATCTCACATCGTATTACGTCAGAAAATTTCCTTAGAAGGCCATAAGAGCCTTATGGAGAAGGAAATAATTGAAAATAGTTCTTCGACATCGAACATTGGAAATTTCGTTGCATTTATAAGGCACACGAAATCGTTCGATCATTTGAAAAGTTGAAGGCAGTAGCCTCAGCGGTATCACAATGGGCCTATTGGCCTAAGTGTACAGGAATTGACCAGCAGCCGCAACAGCTCAACGCAACTCAAGGTAATAGCTGATGGGATTGCAAAGTGCGCCATCCTTTTGGAGACCGCGTGTAGAAAATGAAGAATGAAAGTCGCAAACAATGATATTTCCCAGAGAGTTGAAGAATTACCAATGGCAATGAAGGAAATCACGATTTTTCTTATCAATTGTTGCATACACGGTCTCGAAAGTATTTTAGGGCAGTTTTGGATCTGATGACAAGCTATAACTTGCTGGCAGCACAAGCCAGAAGAAATACTGTTAATAACAAACTTTGCAAAAGGCGCTGACGTTCTAGGTGACGTTTAGTCGTGGTGTGTTTCTTAACGTTTCTCCAACAAATAGATGAGCTTAGAGTGTGTACTAAGTCGTCTCCGAACGGCTGATGGATTTTTATGAGGAGCACGACATTCCTAAATAAATCACGGGGTCTCCGATATGAAATACACTCTTTGCGGGTACATTTTCTACGAATTTATTGGGTTGAATTTTATACGTGAATTCAAGTTTATGCAGCTTTTGAAAAAACAGTTATTTTCATGCAGTTATTTTAGATTATTATTTTTTGTTTATTTTTTTTTTGTACTTTTGATTTGAACTTTTGGTGTGCTAACGACAGGAAGTAGAAGTTTTGTTAGAATGATTATATTTGAAAAGAATAATACTTAAATTTTGAAAAAATAAATATATTTTTTTAAATTTCATTTTATAATTATTTTTAGAAAATCTTTTCGCCGATGTGGCAAGTAATTTCGGTTTATTGCAATACATATGTTAATGAAATTGTTGTTGTATGTGCAACTGTACCGTTAACCCGCATTCTATACTGAATCAAACTCGCTCTACGAGTGTAGTAGAATTTTAACCGAAATTGCGATGATAGCGAAAATATCGCTACAATTATCAACCACCACTTGCCACGCACCCATGACCTGCGCAACTAACCATTATTATCACCTTCGCCACCACCACCGCACCACCACTAACACCACCACCAACGTCCACACAATATGAAGAGGATTCAGTATTAAAAAAAAAATACAACAACAAAGCTTATTAGCTAGAAAACATTCACCCACCAACACCATCAACAGCACCACCACCACCACTAAAACCACGAATCAATACTATATCCGTGCGTAACATGTCTGAGCGCCCAGAATAAAAATACAAAATAAAAAACAAATTTTTTTGTAAAAATAAATTCCATGACAGCCTAAGCTAAACAACGAACCAAACTATTGATTCTAAAGTCAAATGCCCACCCCACCAAATGACAATTACAGCCAGCTCATCATCAGCGGCGCGACAGCAAAGAGTAGGTGAGTGTAGGCGAGGATAGGTGTAGACGAATGTAAACTGCTGATTGAGACTGTTGGGGGGGTGAAAAAAATGCCTGAACAAATTTCACTGTAATCGCGCTTTGTGATCAAACGCATAGGAAGTCATATTTAAATATTAATTAGCCAACTGTTGTAGTGATGAGGCGATGAAGGCGGTGCGGCAGAGCAGCTGCTTACTGCTAAAAGCCAATGAGCAGCATTTCCAATGACAAATCCAGCACGTGATGCAATCGGTTATGTGTGGGCTGCTGACTGCCGTTCATTTGGGGTTAGGCCACATACCATGTACATATATAAATACATATAGGGGCATAGGTATGTTTGTTTGTATATTGATTTTAAACGTGTACTTAATGGCAGTAAAAAAAAATTTAAAAAAAATATTTAAATGAAATAAAATCAAACCAAAATAGAAAAAAAAAACACCGACTACCAAGCGACTTGTCATGTTTTGTTGGAAATTAATCATCGTTGTTGGACATATAAATAAAGTTGAAATTTACTAGCTGTCCGCGATGACAACAAACGAGCGCACGAATCTCAACGATCAAAGGAGACAAAGAAATATATGTACATATAAATATTTATATTATTTATATATAATCATACTGTAAGTAAATGCACCTCTCTAAACAAGCTTTCATTACCAAAAGGGTGGCATCCACAGTAAAAGCCATTGGATGATTAAAGTGTATTGTCCAGGGAAGGGGATCAAAATGGAGTAAGATAAAAAATTCATTGCAGCGAAAATTATAAATACACAGCAATAAAAGATAAAATATTTTGTTTTAAGTTAAAATACTTGAACAAAGCTTTTTGTATTACTTAGTCACATTTTATTTTATGCATATTAGAAGAAAATCACTTATTTTGTTTATTTATATAGGAATTGCACTCAATGCACAATTGAAAATGAAAGATTTAATGACTTCTTTGTTATAAAAATATTATAAAAAATATGAAAATTGAATAAAAAAAATATAAAACTAATATGAAAAAAATAAAAATAAATACATAAAAAAATTAGAATAGAATAGAAAATATAAAATAAAATACCAAACAAAATATCATAAAAAAGATATAAAAAAATAAAAAAACATTAAAAATAAATAAAAATAAAATAAAAAACAGATAGAAAAAATAATAAAAAATAAAATAAAGAAATATCAAAAAAAAAAAAAATATATTAAAAAAAAAATAGAAAATTATTAAATATTTTATGTTTAGTTGCCGATCTAGAGAAGACGTTTTATTCATTAAAAAGAATTTTTTTTTTGTCTGGATATATGTATGTAAGCACATATGTATGTATATATACTGCTGTGACAATATCAAATTTAAGTTAAAATATTGAAAAGAAAATGTAAAAGGGGAATTAATTTTTATCATTCTTTAAGATAAGTTAAGATCAATTTAACCAACTGTAGGCAAATGGCTTCAATTACAAATTTTCAATGCTGTTAATTACTGTTCGAACGAAGTTTTGTATTCTTGTATATTCACATATATACACATATTTATTAAAAAAAAATATATTTTTTTAATATGTTTATCAACAAATTTTGACAACATATTTTTCACGATATCCATAAATAATATAAGAAAAAATGTCGAATGCTGTATAGTTAAATAAATTTTTAAATTTTTAAATTTTTTAATTTTTAAACATTTTAATTTTTCAATTTTTAAACTTCGTTTAGATTACCAACACTTTCTAAAATTTTTCAAAAAACGCAATGCACAAAAATATTAAAAATTAAGCATTAAAAGATTTGATTTTAATAATTAAAACTAGCATTTAATATGAGTTAGTAAAATTTTAATATATCGTGCGTACTTGGAACGAGACTTGCTTCATTTAATGATCGAATATAAACTAGTATTGAATTTTTTTATACTGCAAAAATTATAACTTTTCGCTTTAGACCTTGATTGCGACTTAAAAAGCAATAACAAAATTTTCTTTATTGTACTAAAATTGTATTTTTACCTTTGTTTTAAAAATGAATTTACGCGTCTGTTTTTGAAAACTCAAGTAAAACTGATGACTTTGAATAGAATGGAAATAGGATATTATTATTATTTTGAATTTATTTCTTTTCTTTTTGTAATTTTTATTTTATTTATCAAAAAAATAAATTTAGTAAATTAAATAAAAAATATTAAATTAATTTTAAATATGTATTCAAAAAAAAGAAAAAAATCATTTATCAAATGAATAAATCAACTGCAGTTATTTTTTTTTCTCGTAAAATAGGTTTGTTTGAAAAATAAATCACCGATACTTTGAATATTTTAAATATTTTTTTATTTGAAAATTTTGGTTTGGCGAAAGTTTTTTAATTGAAATGTTTTAAATTTATAATTAAATTCACGAATTTAATTTAAATTTTATTTTCATTTATTTTTTTTATTTGTTTGTGATGTTAAAATTTTAAGGCAAAGGGTTTCCACTTGAAATGATTATGTCGATTTTACAGCTAATTCTTTCAATAAACTCAATATCCAAATTTATTTCATTATTAAAAAATGCTTTGCCTATCCCCTTTGGCCTCCGCAAGAAGCCAGACGCGCCTGAATAGGATGGATTTACTATTTTTGTAAAGAGCAACGTTGAGCCGGCAGCCCGTTCCTAGACAATGGTCTATTATAGTTAAATTTAACTTTTAAAATTTTTTTTAGTAAATAAAAATATAAATTAAAAAAAAGAAATAAACTTCATAATTTTATTTTTTTATTTTTTATATTATTTTTATTTTTTTTCTATGTGAAAATTTTGGTTCGGAAAAGAGTTTCCACTTGAAATGATCGCGTTGATCATACAGCTAATTGTTTCAATACAATCAACATACAAAATTTATTTAATTTAATTATATATTAATACGATTCAACGTACTTACACATACACATCACATATGTGCATGTATACCTCACAAATAAAAAAAAATTATTTTCTTTTCAAAAAAACTATAGATTTTATCGCTAATTATTTTTTCTAAAATTTAGTTTTTCGCTTTTTTATTACTTACTATTTTCTTGAATTGTTATATCCTTAATGCACGCTTGATAATGTAGATTGAATTGTGTTGTTGTAATCCTTATGCACTTTCGCTGCTGATCCTATTTAGCTAATTTATATGTAGGCACGTCGTAGAAACACCACCCAAAACGTCGGTTTTTGTTTTGTTTTAATGTAAGTATTCAATGTAAATTTGTCTTCTTCTTAAGTATAATTGATTTTTTTTTTGTGATGTAGATGGTAGATTTTAACAAGAAATAGTATAAAAAAAAAAACGAAAACAAAAATGGTCAATGCACACAAAAATATTTGAAACAAATATATAAAATTTCACTAAACGAACACGTTGATGGTTTATTTCCTTTCTCCCTTTACGCTATTTCACTTTGCGCACTGTGGGTTTTTTTCTGTTTTTAGTCACAGTGATTTGTTGAAAATCCACAAAATAGTTTCAACTTTAGTGAGTTTACTTTGTTTGGTTTTTAATGGTTTTATATATTTTTCTCTAATTTGTTTTAATGCTGGATTTCACTATACTTTTTCTTTGCCAAAACCTTTGAACACGTTTTCTTTCACATTTGCCGTTTATTATTTGCAGATATTTTTCCCATAATAATTCGTCAATTTGCCAAATTTCGTTGATTTCTTTATCGTTTAGATTGCAGTTGTGGACTGCACGTTGCCACGCGGCGATCGCACACGAAACGAAACGCGATTCTGGAACGCAACGAGTTGAGTCAAATATAACTTGTACAAGGCAACACACGTCACGGATGATCGTCAAAAGCAAAGTCAGGGAATGCAGTGAATGGATATTTGCTGCTACCGCTGTTGGTGGCTGTCGCACGTACTGACTGGCGGTTGCTCCTCCTCGTGCTGTGCTGTGCTGTGCTGCGCTGTGGTGCTGTGTGAGCTTTACGGCGGCTGAACGCTGCGTTGAACTTCGTTGAGTGCACTGCTGGTGAAGGGGTGAACGTCGTTGCACTTGGTCGTCGTCGTGGTCGTCGTCGCGTTGCCAATATTCAATTTTCGATTTACCAATTTGAGTGGTTTTTTTTTTAATTGAATTTCGCTGTATTATTTAATAGATTTTTGTTTTTTTTTTTTTTTGTTTTCAAACGCCACAAGTACACATCAATTAATTGTGTTATCTGCCAATTATGACCAATTTGCTTATATGTTGTTGTTTTTTATTTTTTTGCATAAAATTTTGATACACCACAAAATTCGTTTACGCCGACCGTCCTCAATTCGTCTTCCTACTCCGGATACTACTTATTTGCACACTAATTGACGGACTGCGTTGTCGTTGATTTAACACCGTCGTTGTTCGTCGTCGTTGAATTCAAATCTCTAGTGGAAGAGAGTACACACTAACAAAACAACAACTAACAAAAGAACTCCGCCGATTAAATGGATGCACTTTTTCTCGTCTCAATCGTTGCAATCGGGTGCAATGGACAAGACTTCGTACTTCGATGCACACGCACACACTTAAGCGCACGCTTTCGTATGCGTAATGATCACAATGCAGTGTTGTGATGATGGTGGTGGTGGTGGTGATTGCCGGTTTGTTGGAGCCGGTTTCCGTGTGTTTCCTCTATGCGTGTGCTAGTTGTTGGTTAAATTGGTATTGGTGAGAGCGCCCGTCTACGCTCGGCAATGGATTTATGAAAAATGCAATCGAATGCAACGATGCAATTATTACACCGTTGCAGCGCCGATCTTTTAACCGAGTGCCAACGAATGATTTGAAATGTCGGTTAAGCTTTGCTATTGCGCTGGTGTTGTTGTTGTTGGTTTATGCAATTGCAGCAGAGCGATCGTTGCGCTCAATAGGTTGCAGTTGTTGTAGGTTTTAAAGCAACAACAACAACAACAACAACAATGAGATTACGCCAACAATCTCTGCGCGCCGTATGCTGCTGCTAACCAATACAAATGCACTTTCGTTGCAGCTGATTCGCAAGTCACGAACTTGCAACGACTGATTTGTAAGCGTTTAAGACGCTGTTGTTGTTGTAGCGTTTTTCTGTCGCTGCCGTCGCTGCAGTTGAAGCAAGGCAAGGCTAAGCTAGAGAGTGGGCGTGTTAGTGAGCGTTGTGTGTATGTGTGTGTGTGTGTGTTGTCTATAACGCTGGAGCTTTCTTTCGCTGTCTGCCCTATGCGACGTTCGCTTGTTGCTATGTAATTAAAAGTGCTGTTGATAGCGTTGTTGTTGTTGTTACTGTGATCTCATTACCAGTTCTTGATATAAAATTCTAAGCAGTTAAGCGCGTCGTCTTTTTATTTGAAAATTGTGCACTTTTTAGCGCCTTTTTTTTGGTTTTCTGCAATGAAGTTTTCTGCTCGTTTTTTTGTCTTGCCTTCGCCGGTCTTAATTTAGAAAGTTGTTATATTAGACGCGTTTAGTTGTTCGGCTTAGCAACCGTGCGCTGACTTTTCAGATTATGCCTTATGCAACTCTTCTGTCTCCTCTTTTTACTAGTTTTTATGTCTTTCCTTACGCGGTTTAGTTTATAAAAAAAAAGGTAAGTTAAGCTTCAATTCTAAATGCGTTTTAAGCGTAATTAGTTGCAATGGAAATCAAGTCGAAGTTTAAGAATTGAAGAATTATCCTGAATTTACAGTCAAGTTAGGCACGATTTGAAATTTTATTTTTATTTTTGTTTTTATTTTTATCTTTATTTACAATAACTGCGAGATTTGTGTCTTTCAAGGAAAGCGTGAAAGTACTTTTTTTTTAATAAAAAAGTAAGAACTTTGTTAAATTCTTTGTATATATGTGTGTATGTTTGTTGGTCGCCGTAGAACAATCAGTGCCCTTTGTTTCAAGTTTTCACAACCTTTGCGCTGCTTTTCGAAGATCGTAGAAATCTGTGTTTCTATGTAGAGGGAGACCGCAATTTATAGTTTATTGCTGTTATATTGTTATTTTTGTTGTAGTTTTTTTTAAATTTTTTTTAATATATTTGAAATATATTTTGCACTGAATTAGTTTTTTTTTATATTTTTATATGTTTTTTTTTATATATATTTTATTATCCACCGATTGTCACTTCGTTGCTTTATTTTCTCACTCACTTTGTTTTAGTTTGATTTTTCTTCGTTTTGGTTTTTCCTTTAAAAAGTATTTCTCTTGTACCTTACTTTAGTATTTTTCACACTTGTATTTGTGTTTATGCCTGTTTGGGGCTTAAATCGCTAACGATTTATTTTTACTTATTTATTTTTATATTTTTTTTTAATTTTTTTTTCAAGTATTATTTTCAACACTTTTCGCCAATGTTTTCATAAATTTAATTAGGTGATTTGCGCGCGTCGCGTCATAATGCTGCATTTTTTAAATAATCATTACATACACTTGGAGGACAAAGAGAGAATTTTCGTTTTTCGCTAAGTTTTTAGTAAAACTTTTTTTTTTAAATTGTTTTATCAAATATTCGGTAAATAAATTTTTTTCAGTGTACAAACAGCGTCCTTTAGCGCTTAATAAACATAATAAAGTAAACTTTATAGTTTTGTCAACTGTTTTTCTCAGTGTAGTTTTTCATTTATGGCGTTAAAAGCGCCAAATACACTTTTTTTGTTAGACAAAAAAAAATTGTTGAGTTTATTTTTGCAAACACAATTTTTTTTAGTTTCACTTACTTTCATTAAAGCTTAATTTTAGCTTATAAGCAAATTAACTTCAAATCGCGTTTCGTTTAATATTTATAGTTAAAGTAAATTATTATTAAAATTCGTAAGTTGAAATAAACTTTAATTATTTTAGCAAAAAATAGCTTAAATTGAATTCACTTAAATTAAAAAAATATATATATTTCTAGTTGAAAATTATTTGTTGTAGCGTAGAAGTTGTTTTTTATTAAAATTATTTTATTAATAAAATTATTTTTAATAAAATTCCAGACTGCTGCTGTTTGTTGTTGATGTTGTGGCTGCTGTAGACTGCGAACTACATACGTTGTATTTGTTGTCAATTTTCTTGTTGCTCCACTTTTGTTGTTTTACTGCAATTTTTAATTTATTGTGTGAATTTTGAAAATTTAATTCTTGTTTTTTGTGTTTATTTTCGAACTGAGTATACGCGGACACTACTATTGTTTTGCTGTTGACTGCTTACTAACGGTGACCAAAATTGTTTAATAATTTATTATTACAATTATCTTTTTAATTTTTCAAATTAATTGTTGGAAATTATTACTTTTCCCACCACGAAAAGTGTTTAAAGTAAATTTACTGCTTTTGCACCGCTGCTGCTCGCGTTGTATTTTTCCGGACTCCGGACTTTTTTGCCGACGTGAATTTGTATTTTTTTCTCTTGTTTTTCTTTTTTAATTTCGCAATTTTTGTACTGGAAAATTTTGTTTCGAAAATTTTTGTATTGACAAAAATCGAATTGTCGTGGTGTGCCGTAGTATTATTTAATTTCTTTTTAACTGTATTGTTTTATCCAATTGAAGTTGTGAAAATTTTTAGATATTTGTGCCTGCGATATCTTCTCATCGTCGTCCGTCCGCGATACTGTGGCTAAGTGTAGCGGTTGCGTTGATGTCTGACGTTTTGGCTAACGACTCTTGTCTCATCGACATCGACTCTGTTGATGATGACGACGGCGACGGCGACGGCGACGACGGCTCTTCTTGTTTGTGTCTCAGCAGCAGCCACAGTTAGTTATCGACGGCCAGTACAAAAAAAAAAAAGAGAGAAAAAAACAATTCGTCCAGAGTGTGCAGTGGAAGGCATAAGAACAATTTGGCTTTGTAGCGTGCAAAAATGCAAAAAAAAGAGCACCGGAGTGCAAATTTTCAACAACTGAGTAGACTCACTCACTCAAAATGTACTTGTGTATAGGTGTATGTGTGGCTTAATTGGCACCGGCGGCGGCGACTATAGCGATTGTCGCTGCAGAAACGCAAAAACTTTTGTAGCGCAAAAATGTATCTGAATTCCTTGCCTGTGCTATTGACTACCTCTTTGTGGCTGCCTCCCTGCCTGGCTTGCAAGCTAGCTGGGCTGACTGGCTGGCTGGCTGGCTTGCTGGCTGACATGCTGCTTGCCTTCTTCGGTTTTTACCCCACGCCGAGAGAATGTCGTTGCCTTTGCTTTGACTGCAGTTGGCGCTGTTAGACTCATACATGCATGCTACACACATACATACACACATACATGTACATACATTGCTCGCCATCAATGCTTTTTACTCGAGCTTGCGCGCTCTTCTGCTCTTTGGCTGCATTCGTGGCAAGTTGCATTTGTATGAGTGCATTTGTGACGGTTGATATTTCTAATATGTGTACATGTGAGTGTGTGTGTGTGTGTGAGAGAGAATACTTACATATGTACATTCAAGTGCTTTATTGCCGGTCTCACAATGCAGCGCTCTACTCGGCTTCGTCGACAACCCTTATGCATGTAGTTTTCGCTTGCGCTTATTATTCTTGTTGTTGTTGTTGTTGATGCTAACTTTGACTTCCGTCTTGTTATTTTACTTCGTTTATCGCATTATTATATTTTCAATTTTGGTTTTTGGTAAAATCGAAATTTTTGTTTTGCTGTTCTCTTCCTTAAGCAACAGAGTTGCATTTTTCGCACAAAGCACAGACACACACACACCAGTTACCACTTACACATGCTAGTAGTTTTGTATACCGGCGCTCAGTCTCGCTTTAACCAGACCGTGAGCCAACTTATGCTCGCAAGCCACAGTCGGTGCAGCGAATTCAAGCTCATATTGGAACACTTGTGTTTAGGCATATATGTGTGTGTGTATGCTGTGAGGGATGTATGTATGTATGTATGGATGTCTGTATGTATGAGCTAGCATTTTGCCAGTGTTTGTGGGCTAACATTTTGTCGCGTCGCCGCATTGCAATCACTTTTGAAGCCCATGTGCAACGTTGAACCCCACATCTCCCCAGTCGGTTAGAGCGCGCTGACTACCTATGCACATACATACACAGATGCATAAACATACATATATACATATCAACATACATTGTTGCTGGTATGCATGTAGCTTTGCTTTCTCGCTGCGGCTTGCAATTATAGCACCCAAACGCATGCTGCATGCAGTCACTCGGCACGACAAGACGAGAAGTAGAAGCCAAAACCACGTTGGAAAAGTGTGGCTCTTCCAGGCTCAGCATACCACAGGCTGCATAGTCTGAGCAGCTCTGACGTTCAGTTTGTTGCAAAGCAAGGCGCAGTAAATAAAAAAAAAAACAAAGTCCGTTGTTGCAGTTTGGTACTTTTTTTTTGTCTTTTTTGCTTTGCAGCTTCTTTTTTCTCTGCACATTTCTTGGCTTTTGTTGCTACATCGCCACATTCGTGCATTCATCTTACTTACCCTCAATTCTTCTGCTTTTACTACTGGCACTTAAGCAGCGCCATCAGATATGCCTGTGGAACATTTCAATTAACTGCATTTTTTAAGCAATTCTCTGCTCATCCTGCCACCCTGCCACCCTGCCAGCGTACACGTACACCTTGTCATCGTACACGCCGGCATAGAAGACAATTGCCATAATACTCTTCTGCTCTGCTTCTGCTTCAGCTTCTTCTTTTTTGCCTTTAATTAACTTTCGGCCATTCGTGACAACACCAATATCTACAAGCAGTTTGTTGTTTCGTTTATACGTGTGTGCGTGTGTGTGTGTTTGCATTTTGTGCGCTTGCAGCGTCGCGTTAAGCGATAAGATCTCGCTTGATTTGCCTAATCGTTATATGCCTCTAGGTCGCGGCCTCAACAATGGCAACACTGTCGACTACTCTCCTGACGGCTGACTGACTGACTGACTGCTCCATGTCTTGTTGTCACTTTTGACTGATGTCTTTTGTTGTGTTGTTGTTGCTGTTGCTGTTGCTATTTGTTGAACAGGTGTGTTTGGTATGAAGTCATAATGTACACACACGTGTATGTATGTACAATATGTATGTGCATATGTGCTGACAAAAATTCATATAGTCAAGTTATGGCATTGTGATGACGGTTATAATCTCTTCCAAGTGAATGATTTAATAAACAGCTTTTTATGTTGAAGATTTTTTGATAAATTTTTTAGTCTTTATCTAAAGATTAATTTAAATAATGAACTGAATGCACGATGCGTTTGTATATATGTATGTACATATAAAACACTTCAAACATTATTTTTGAAAATTGTCTGAGCTCGAGCGTTGTCGCTAGGTCTTTTTTGCTCTTCCTCTTCCTTTTCTCTTCCTCTTTTTCCTCCTTTTCTCTTCCTCTTCCTCTTCCTCTTCCTCTTTTTCCTCTTTTTCCTCCTTTTCTCTTCCTCTTCCTCTTCCTCTTCCTCTTCCTCTTCCTCTTCCTCTTCCTCTTCCTCTTCCTCTTCCTCTTCCTCATCCTCATCCTTATCCTCTCCCTCTATCTATTCTTCTTTTTTCTTTTCCTTTTCTTTTTCCATTTCCTCTTTCTCTTTCACTTTTTCTTTCACTTTCACTTTCTCTTTCTCTACCTCTTCCTCATCCTGTTCCTCTACCTATTCTTCTTCTTTTTCTTCTTCTTCTTCTTCCTCTTCCTCTTCTTCTTCTTCTTCTTCTTCTTCTTATGGAATTATCCATAACCCACGTTGTCATGTTCCGAGATCCCTCTTTCCTTTATATACGAGGTGTGAAAATAATGTAATGAGACTGATTATATTGCCGCGATTGTGGTAATCCTGCTCCCTTCTCTCGGCATCCTCCTCCCCTCCATTAATATATTTGCCATCGCTCTTGCTTGTTTAGTCCGCCTGTCGCGTTGAGTAAACGTATGTTCGTGGTGCTGGTCACGAAAATGGAAAAACGAAATCAAGCGCAACGCGTCGCCATAAAATTTTTCGCCAAATTGGGCGAAACAGCTTCGGAAACTTACGCTAAAATGATAAAAGTGCATGGTGATAGTGCTCTTAGTCGTACCCAGGTGTTTCGATGACATAAAGAGTTTAAGGAGGGGCGTAAAAGCATGGAAAACGAAGCGCGAAGTGGGAGACCGTGGAATCGTCCACAAAAAATTTCTTTCACCGGGGCAAACCGTAAATCAGGTCTACTATCGCCAAATATTCGAAAGATTGCGAAAACGAGTCTACAGGGTGCGTCCAAGCATCACTCGTAACTGGATCCTTCATCACGGCAATGACAACGGCATCGATTGAGGACATCCAGGCGGTCGTGACGAAGGTACTCGCAGACATCCCAATCGAAGCGTACCAGAAATGTTAATAATTAATTGTCACACCTCGTTATTGGGGTTTTTAATCAAGTCCTTTAAGAGCCTCGTATTAATTTCGCTGGGAGCCAAGTCTGCCGAATAAGGTGGATGGGTAGGCTGCCTTGTTGCAGAAACCACTTAGATTTGTCGAGTAAACGATGTCGGAAACCACATTTCGGGTGGAGCAATGGCAGAAGTAATGCTCTAACGACTTCTCATTGTCCACATTTCTGCAGTTGTGACCGAAGTCAATTTTGAAAACTCGCATCGTATTAACTTGAGTCCTCATTAAACAGTGTCTGGTTATAACGCGAGTTGTTATGGTGGGTTATGCTTATAAGAAGTATGAGTTGTAGTTATTTTCTCATTGATCAATGGCCATAGCTAGTAATTTCACCCTGCCATTTGCTATTGGGTTTGCTGGTAAAGGCCGATCTTAGTACGCACGAGTATATATTTTGTAGAGGAAAAAGATATGCCGGCATTGTGTGCAGACTTTAACGTGGTTAGGATTGTACCACTTCGCGCTAGTTTGCCGGTCTCGCAATTACCTACTATGTTTCTAGGACCAGAGTTCGAGAGTTTGTTTAAGATTTTCCTACATCAGCCACGTTTGAGGTGTTTTGCTTATAATGAAGAGGCTTGATAGCAGCTTGGCTTATTTGAAAGACACTGCAGTGTTCGAGAAGTCTCTTTCTCTCTTTCTCATTACAAGTGGTACAGTGCGCATAACGCAGTACTCCGCAGAACTGCAGAACGCTTGTGGAAGTTTATGGTTAATCTGTACCAACCGATGAGTTATGGAAGTGGGTCGGGCGCTTCAGAATGGTGATGTCGCATGCAAAGAGCGTCCTGGTTAACTGATATAGTTTGAAGATGAGGAATTGAAGGCTGTACTGCCTTACTGGATTAAGATCCATGTCAATTAGGCGAAACCATTGATGCCAAACGATACCGACTACAACTAAAGCGTTTGAGCCGTTTATTGCATAAAAAAATAATCAGAAATGACCGAAAGGCGTGATAAGGTGATTTTTCAGCATGACAACGACCCCACGGTCAAAAACTACGAGGAACCCCTGCAATGCGTGCTCTTACAC